CAGAAGATTTGTTGCTACAATTGCCAGATATAACACAAAGAACAAGAAGAAATGTAAAAGCTGCATATGCCGATTTTTTGAGAATTCGAGCAGCAAAAAGTAAGACATGGTTTGATACCTCATGTTTCATTTAGGACAAAACTGCAGGGCATAACTGCAAGGAAGAAGATGAGGGAGATGCAGTTAAATAAAATTTGGGAAGTGGCATTTCAATATGTGATGAGAACAGTAAAGAAAATGAAGTGTAAATGATGAACTAAATGAAAAGAGAAACAGACCATGGAAGGAATAAATGTAAGATAGGCACCTTAGAGTAGAAGAGTTCTCCCTTGTTAATTTCTATCCATTTGTAATCCACACATTTTAAACAACCAGCCTTATATTTTGCCTTTTTTCCTATTTCCAGTTTGGATATTTAATGTCCCAATCAAACGGATTCACTTCAACCCAGTTGAAGTCTATTTCAGCCATAGAAGTTTATTGGGAATATTTGAACCAGTTATAATCTCTTACAACTCATATAGGACTGTTACGATGGATATGATATGTAGGGTGATTTGTGTATGTGTGTGTGTGTGTGTGTGTGTGAATCTAGCAAATAAATATAAAAATACATTACACTAAATCAGTGTGTGTGTGTGTGTGTGTGTGTGTGTGTGTGTGTATATATATATATATATATATATATATATATATATACATACATACATACATATATATATATATCCTCAGTTTAGTTGGTTAATAATTTTTTGAGGGGTTGCAATAAATTGTTCCCTTCAATTAAGTAATAAAGATACTGTAGATTTTTCTCCCCTGTGGTCTCTACTACTTCTCCAAAAGAACCCATTAAACCCATATGGCAAAGCATCAAGAAACAGATTTCATCCTTTTTCATATTTCAATATTTTTATTCAAGTAAAAAAGATTAGCAAAGATTACAAAATAACCTAAAAATTTTAAGGAACATACAAAATAAGATACAAAGACCAGAAGATCCATAGAAGGAGATAGTAGAATGGTTGATTCTTTCTCTGTATCTGATAATTCTGCAGTTTGAATAGATTAGCATCAATTCTGAGATGAATGGAAAATCAGCTAGAAAATAAAGAAAAATTGAACATCCCAGTAGAAGGGAAGGACATATATTATGAAGTACAATGTACATAATGTTGGAAGAATAATCTTTGGTTCATTCCTTACAGCCAGGACAATGAGGTTGGTGCAATGAATGAAATGAGGAGGCATGAAAGCAAGTTGCTGGGAAAGGAGGTTTTATTTCAGAAGCAAAAAACTACAGTGACAATAGGATTTTGGCTCAGCAGGCTGATTGGAAGGGTGAATAGAATGATTTTTATACCTTTATAAATCTTTGTGATTGAGGTGCCTGTTGGGGTATTTGTTTAGTTTAATAATGTGTTCTTTGTATTTTGATTGTCTGTGTGGTGGATGGGTCAAGTCTAGCCTTGGAGAAAGCTGGAGAATGTAAATCCTGTGGGGTTTTGTATTTATCTAATTTAATCCTGTCAATATGGAAGCTGTTTCTTGTTACACTCTTAGCAGTTTTGTTTCCTAATAATGGATGCTATATATCTATTTGTGGAATGTTGTTATCAGGTTGCCTGAGGCTATTCCTCTTGGTAGGGAGGCAGGGATTTTTTTAGCTTCTTTTTAAATATATTTTATTAATATTTTTTTTAACAAACACAAGTCACTCAATAATTGGTAAACTGTGTTGTCTGGGTTACATTTGTAAAAACACTCCTAAACAATTGATTTCTATAATCTGTATTCCATATATTAATTTTAATTGATTTCCTATTTCCCCAGAACATCCTTTTTTGCAAACATTAATAAAATTTTTATTGTTTTAATAAATGACAATTAATTATATAATGTTTCCAATATTCCTAAAAATAATCGTCATATTAGTATAATATTTCTTTTCAGTCATTTGAGTTGCCTTATCATCAATCCTGTTACGATCCTTATTTTAGTTTGTTTCTCCCACCAAATTCTAAATATTTTTACCAGTAAGGATTTTCTCAACAATTAGTTACATTTACATTGACAGATTTAATTCTGTTTTCCCATATAAGTCATCTCACATTTTTACATTTCTTAAGGAATAGATAAAAGAGTAAAAAGAGAGAAGAAAAAAAGAAAAATGAAGAAAAAAGAAAAAAGAAGGAAGAAAAGCAAGAGCAACGAAACATAAGAAATAACATACTACTTAGAATATATATCCCTCCTAGGTTAATATGTTAATATGTTTTAATAAACACAGCTGTTCAGATAAAGTGAGTCCTATAGAAACAATGTATACTCCACAAGAGGAAATATATGATAAACTGCAACTAATTCAAAAGACAATGATCTTAAACCACAAAGAAATAACAGAATAACTTTGAAAGTATAAATCAACTTATCTCCAATTTAATTTTATTCCAAAAAAAAACCCTCAGGAGGATTCAGCAGAGATGACTGAATATAAATCTGAGGATAAAGACTTAAAGATGGATTTCCACAAAATAAAAAAGTTTGATTTAATTCAAGTGGAAGAAAAGACAATTTATATTTCAACACTACAAAGCAAACTTGAGGATGAGAAGAAGTACTCGATAGAGAGACAAAAAGTGACAAAAAAAGTGGAGAGAAAAGGAAGGAAAAAAATTCCTAATAAAAAAGCATGGGCAAATGCCCATGACAAAGACATTGATTTACTCTCTATATCTACAGCAACACTTATGATCATACTGGAAAACCTTTTGATTCAGCAAAGTACATTGAAAGATTCTGGGCAAAGAAAAAAAGATTAAGATGGAAACTAAGAAAATAGATGATGGGACATATCAGAGAGAATACTTAAAAAAGAAGCATGTGTTTGAATATGGTTAAAGAAACAGAAAAAGTTTGGAATATATCACTTTAAGAGGGATGAAATGTTTTAGATACTTAAATGTGACTGAATTTAAGAAAAGTATATAAAATGTTTTGAATCACAGTTAAGGGATTATATGACTAGATCTATTGAATGGAATGTCTAAAGATTAAATATATTCTTAACTATGGTTAAAAAGAATAAGAAATCTGAGGAAGGGTTTTTTAGCTTCTATGGATGGTTCTTTTTTTCCCCTTTTTCCTTGGGTCATGGAATAGGTGTGTGTGTGTGTGTGTGTGTGTGTGTGTGTGTGTGTGTTACAATTAGCTTTGCTAGTGTGGGAGGGAGACTGGCTGAGTCAGAGGAAAGAATAAAATGTGGAATTAGTCTATATTGGCACAAGAGGATAAAGTGTCACATACATACCCCCTTTGAAAACTATTGGATCTTATCTAGTCTCATCCAGGTAACAACCATCAGTCTAAAAAGATTCCATTGTATAGGTTTGACCAATGAAACAGCTAATTGACCCCATCACGTTTGGGTCTGGTTAGTGTTCCTGATAGTTAAGCAGGTGGAAACAAAACAGAAGTGTCTATAGGCAAGAGCGAGTGAGCACACATTGACAACATCAGTATATCACTATTATGATAACCTTTGATGGCACTACAAATTTCCTTTCATTGAATGGGTGTATTTAGTTTCCTGGAACTCTTGATGATCTCTTGATGATCTCAGTTCCCAAGTTATTATTGGATCTGGACAACTTCAATTCTTTCTTGTTGATATTTTGGCTCAAACCTTTATCTTGTTTTTATTTTACAATCCATGCTTAAACACAGCATGGCCTTCAAGATTCTAACAGTATAATTTCAACTAAACTGGAAGAGTTGATTTCCTGACTGGCCTATCTGAAAAAGCTGACATCTCCTCACATTCAGAATAAGATTCAATATTACAGCATGGATTATAGTAACAGTAGCATTTCATCACAAGGTGTCATTATCAAATCCACAATGTCATTCTTCCCACTATATTTGCCCTCCCACACAAGTAATGGCTAATAATATAAATTATGGTTTAAAAACCATGGCTTGCCAAGATATGATATATGAAAGTCATTAGAGTGATTTTCCAGATGAAATTTCCTTTCTTCACAGACTCTGTGAAAACTTTGTGGAAGCCTCAGAAAATAGATCGATGTGCAAATCATGTACAAAGGTTGAGCTTTAATGTTGGCTTTTTAAAAAACATGGAGGCTTTCTTTGTTTCGGCAGAAGTAAACAAATTGGCTAGAAATCTCCCACTGGAACTTCCATTTCAGAAATTTTTTAAAGGTATGGATTCAGTAATTGAATGGATTCTGGTTTCTGAAACCTCACATTCACCATATTTAAAAGCATGGTTTACAAATATTTGGACTGAGGAATTAAACTTTCATATCCCTTTAGTTGAAAAAAAGTGATATGGCTTTTTGTATACATTATCAGCAGCTTAGATGAAACTCATCCTTCTCAAGGACATCTCCATAATATATCATCCTTGGTATAGGTCTATCTATTTTTCCTTCTCCAGGTATTGGATTAGGGAACATGTCTTATCACTTCTACTTTGTATTAAGTCATAAGTTTTCTGAAGGCTTATTTGATTTTCTAGTAGAATTATGCATTTTTCTAATTAAATTTCTTAGGTTTTTTTTTCATTTCTTGTGGTTATCAAATAATTATGTGAGATAATATCTCAATCTGCCAGGTATTTGGTCTTCTCACAGAATACCCTTAAGGAAAGAAACAATATTCTGAACATAAGAATTGGAAAGCCAGTTTAATGTAGAAGTGAAGGCATCAGGTTGAAACCAAGAGATTCGACTCTCTCTTAGAAATGCAGCCAGTTGAGAGGCTTTGGGCCAATCCCTTCACTCAGCCCTGGGAAAGAGGCATTGGCAAATCCTTTCTGAAAAATGTTGCCAAGAAAATTATAGAGATATGTCTAGGTAGTCGCCAGAAGTTGAGGCTAATAGAAAAGTGCAAAATAACAAAGTTTGTGAGCAAGTGACCATTATTGAAAGGAACAGTTATAGAGGCCTAGATACCTTTGGAAATGCTGAAGCTTTAGCTAGCCATATTATGTGGGACAACATTAGAGGGAAGCCATTTTATATTGGAAAGCACAGAGAAAAATAGGCCACATCATTTAAATGTCCTCTGCCTTTCATATGTTTCTCCCAATCTCATTCCATCTGATCCTCATTTCTGTAAACACCAGAAAATGTCAGCCTGTGGGATGCCAGTGCTGCCAAACATCCACATCGGTCAAGTACATTGATAGTAATTAGGAATGCAGGATTTTTGCAAATAACATCTGGAGTTCTGTGGTTTTCCCAAACTGAAAGATTGACTTTGCCTCAATCCCAACTATTCTTTCTACCTTTTCTATAAGAATGCAAAAAAAAAAAAAGGAAAAAGAAAAACAAGGAAAATGAAAAAAAAGTGGTGAACAGAATATAAACAACATTAAGAGAATTTGTCAGAATCTCCATATATGAGAAAGGACAAATTTGATATTCTTATTTCTCATGCTATAGATAATTGGATTGAACAGAGGTGGAAGAAGTGAATACAGAACAGTGAACCCAAAATCTAAGTAAGATGGCGTGTCAGAGGGACGCCTCATATAGGCAAGGAATCCAGTTAATAAAAACACAGACACTACTGTAATATGAGGGAGACAAGTTGATAAGGCCTTTTGCCTTCCTTGTTCAGAAGGCATTCTTAATACTATCTTGAAGATCATGGTATAAGATAGAACTATAAAAGTAAAACAACCTAGTACGACAATGACACTAGCCATAAGAACTGCAACCTCAAATAGATTTATACCAGAGCAGGATAGTTTTAGCACTTGTGGAATTTCACAGAAGAATTGATTAACAACATTAGAACAAAAAAGGATGGAAAAAGTGCCAATGGTATGCAATATTCCATAGAGGAGACCTGTAACCCACACTAGAATTATGATTTCAGTACAGTATTTCCAATCCATTACCATCTCATAGTGCAGTGGACGGCAAATAGCAACATATTGATCATATGCCATGACTGTCAAGAGGGAGAAATCAGAAGCTACAAAGAAGAGAAAGCGAAAGATTTGAGCAGCACAACCAAAATAAGAGATGCATCTGGTGTCCATGAGAGAATTTATCATTGATTTGGAGACAATTACTGAAACAGCACCTATGTCCTTCAGAGCCAAATTCATGAGAAAGAAGTACATGGGGCTGTGCAGGCAATGGTCAAAAGCTACTGCAGAGATGATGAGAAAATTTGTTGTTATAGTTGCTAGATATAACACAAACAAGATGAAGAAATGCAAAAGCTGCATATGCTGATTTTTTGATAATTCCAGCAGCAAAAAGTAAAGCACTGTGGTTTGATTCTCCATGTTTAATATATAATAAAGCTGATATAACTGCAAGGAAACAGAGGAGGGAGATATAGTTAGATAATATTTGGGAAGCGCATTTTAATTTGTGCTAAGAATAAAAAACATCAAGAAATGTAAATAATGGACAGAAAGGCCAGAGGAATCAGAGCATGAAAAACATGGGAATTGCCAATTTCAATCCAACTGTACTAAAGAACCAACTATCAACTTCTTTCTTTCCTTTTTTTCAGTTCTCTTACTTCATGTACTGATCAATTGCCTAGGAGTAGAAAAACCCTCTTCAAAGTCTATTTTCATTGATTAAACATTACATGGAATTATTGGATCCATCATAATGTCTCACTTTTCCTACAGATTTGTGGTACTGTTGGAAAATTGAAGAACCCTATGTATGGTACTTTGTGCTTCTAGAAGAAAGACAATATAAATCTAGCAAATAAATAATGAATTAATTTGCCAAGTCCTTTACTTGGAATGGAAATCTTGAAAGCAGAAATTTCCTCCTTGTATAATTTCTCTCTGTGTGCATTTGTGTGCTATTTGTGAATGATAGAGATGATTTTTTTTCTCAATTTCCCCAGCAGATTTTAAGTTAAAAAAAGCCTTTAAACTAATATACATATATATATATTAGTTTAAAGGCTTTTTAAAACTTAAAATCTGCTGGGGAAATTGAGAAAAAAAACGTGTGTATGTGTGTGTGTGTGTATGTAGGTCTTTGGTTATTTGGGTTTTCTTCCGCATAAAATTTTACGTGGGAGAAAACTCGAATAACCAAAGACCTACTTACAAACACCCATGAAAACCTCGGAAAACGTATGGAAGTGTCGCCAAGACACTTCCAATTTTACAATATATAAATTTATATATATATGTGTGTGTGTGTGTGTGTGTGTGTGTGTGTGTGTAGGTCTTTGGTTGTTCGGGTTTTCTCCCGCGTAAAATTGGAAGTGTCTTGGCGACATTTCGACGAAGTCCCATTCGTCATCTTCAGGCTGGTGTTTTCAGCTTCGTGCTTTGAGCATCAATGTGTGGTCTTAGCTGTTTCTTCCTTTTAACTGCCAGTGGGGGTATGAACTGATTGGGTGGGAGCTTGGCTGTGTTCTGATTGGGTGGAGGTGTGTTCTGATTGGTTAGGGGCTTGGCTGCGCTCTGATAGGCTGGGGGGTTGGCTGTGCTCTGATTGGCTGGGGGGTTGGCTGTGCTCTGATTGGCTGGGGGGTTGGCTGTGCTCTGATTGGCTGGGGGAGTGTTCTGTTTGGTTGTGCTCAGGTTAGTCTGAGTTGCAGAGGGGTTTAAGATTTTGGGCTGCCTTGCTATTTTTTGGCTTCGCGTTCGTGGTCGTGCTTCGTCTTCATGGAGAGTGTCAGTTTGCTTCATGTATGGATTGGAGGGGTTTAAAGTGGCTAATGATGCAGCTGTGGTCTGGCTTCTGGTTTGTGGTTGTGCCTCATCATCGGTGTGGCTTTGAGTTTGCTTTTTGAATGGATGTGTGGTGGTGACATCCTGTGTGTTTTTTGTGAGTGTGGGTCTGGTATCATTTTTTGTGTTAGGGAGTCGTTTGTCAATAAGGGCGGGTTTCCAAATGGCTGATAGGCGGGAGGTATCATCTCGCTTGTTCATGCTGTGTGGGCGTTTTTCTATCTCGATGGCTTCTCTGATTATTCTGTTATTAAAATGTTCACTTTTGGCAATGGTTCTGGTATTTTTAAAGTCAATTTCATGTCCTGTGGCTTTAAGGTGTTGGACCAGTGAAGATGTTGGTTCCTCTTTTTTGACTGAGTTCTTATGTTCTTCAATGCGTGCACTTATTCTTCTGTTGGTTTGTCCGATGTATGTGGTGGGACAAGTGGTGCATGGGATTTCGTATACTCCTTGATTTTCTAATTCAATTTTATCTTTGGGTTTCTAAGGATGGTGGATATTTTTCTGTTTGTGCAGAATGCTGTTTTGATGTTGTGTTTATGGAGGATCTTACTGATTCTGTCTGTGGTGCCTTTTATGTATGGGAGGAGGGCTTTGCCATTTTCTTGTTCTTTGTCTTGGATTTTAGTGGGGGTTTCTTTTTGAATTAGGTTTGTAATCTTATTTCTTTGGAATCCATTGGATGTTAGTACATTGGTGAGAGTGTGTACTAACATCCAATGGATTCCAAAGAAATAAGATTACAAACCTAAGTTAGTTGCAGGATCGCCAGTGGAATGCCACGTGTAATTCCACCGGCGATCCTGCAACTAACTTTATTAATGACATTTCCCGTTTGAATTGTTATTGCCTTGGGAATGCAGGAGAACAACAGGGAGATGAGAAGCCTGTTCGCTATAATCGTAGAGCTTCCACACGCTCTTACAGACATTTGAGAGGTACGACTCCCCATAGGAATGCACAAGGAGATGCAAGTCACAACTGTAAGGATTCCGCCCCTCTCCTTTTAAGGAAGATTGCATACCCCCAAGTAATGAGCGAATGCACAAACAACAGTGAAGGAACAGCTCCCTCAAAAAAAGGGGTCAGCAATCAATTTGTGGGTGCCACGAATTCTGGAGAGGGTGTTAAAATCACCCCCATTGAAGAGAAAATAGAAAGGGGAGTTAATAAAGTGATACGAAGGATCAGGAAACAGGATGATGTAAACACAATCTTGGGCTACAGAGACAAACAATGAGGATATAGTTTTGAAAGAGGATCGTAAACAGAGAAACAGGGGGAGGAGAAGAGAAATAGAGAGTACCAAGAAGGAAGATGAGATGAATAAACAACATAAACACAGACAGTGCCCATCTAATTACGTGGAATTAAGGAGTCCCCCTGACTTACAGTTATGTAAAGAAGGGAGGAAGAGCTGCGGTACCAGCACAAGTAAGGAAAGTGAGGAAATTACAGCTTGCAACACAGAAACTATGATCAAAACGCGGGTGGATTGGCTGGGACCCATGACGAGGTCAAGAAGCCGGGCGCAAAGAACGCCACACTTATAAATAGCTTCTCCCATCGACTGGAGACTACCCTGATGATGCTGGCATATGCCAGCGAAAGCTTGGTTTTATTCTGGTTTTATTAAAACTTTTTATAGTTTTATAACTTCCTGGTGTTCGTATATTTTATTGTTTAATATGAGTCTACCCAGGAATCACTGTTTTGTTTTTAAAATTCTTAATTATGTATATATATATATATATATATATATATATATATATATATATATATATATATATATATATATATTCTGAGGTTTTCGCGGGTATTTGTATGTAGGTCTTTGGTTGTTCGGGTTTTCTCCCGCGTAAAATTGGAAGTGTCTTGGCGACGTTTCGACGAAGTAGAAATTTTACTTTCCATTTCTTATATTCATATCCAGAAAGTTTATGAAACGACTTCACTGATACTACTTTACCTAATAGTGATCAGATCATTAGTGAAGGTTTGATCCAAATTTCTGCTAATTCTAACTGTCTTTTATTCTTTATAATTATCATGTGGAAAAGGTACCAACATATTTAATTAATTCATTGTTTTCTATCTACATTAAAAGCTCTCCAAATTATCTTCTGTTTCATACTGTCTTTAAATCTACTATCTGTAGTGCAATTTCTGAAAAAAATATATTAAAATTCTTTGTTCTCCTCCCCAAAAAAGCCTAACTTGTCATTTCCATTATATCAGAAAACTAACATGCAATTATTTAGTTAAATTCTCTTCTGCAAAAAAGTTAAAAAGCCAACCCTGAGATACCACAAATAAGACATACCCATTTGCTCCATGAAAGAGGGAAATACCTTTTCTGTTAAATTTTCAATTTTAAACTGATTTATTTTGTCTAACAGAACATATCTTCTACACTTTTAAGAGTGTTAAATATCTTACCACTATATCAATGCTGTCCCACTAATTATCATGTAGTGAAAAATCTATCTACAGTAGAAATTTCTATTCTGAATGTTAAGCTTTGTTTTTTTTCTCTCAAGAGACTTGTGATTATTAATGTAGTTAATTAAACATAAGTAAAAGTGACTCCTGTTTGCTTATTAACATAATTGGCGATTAATAGCTACTTCCAGGAGCAGTTATCATATGAATAATAATATTAGAGATTTTCTTTCATCTCCAGCTTTTAAAAAATACCAACTTCTATTTCTGCGTGCCACAGATAGGGGAAGAGCTTGATCTTGGCTAGGTATGCTCATGTCATTAATGCAGAGATGGAAAATAATTCTGAAAATTATAAAAGATAAGGCAGAAAAGAAAGATCAGGAAACCCACAGAAACCTAGAGGGATGTCAATAGTTACACAATAAAACCATAAATACCATTGGCATTAGTGTGGGAGTCCAAAAAAGCATGATTATTGTACTGCTGAATTTGCAAGCCACATTCCTTTAAAGGGAGCATATGGCTGCATGATGAGATTGTGAATACGCACTTAAAACAAGACTCGTAGACTGAGACATAATATAAGGCCATAGAGATTTATAAAATTTATAATAGAATAATAAAATAAGTTCATAGAAATCAGTAAAAAATCTCACAAGAAACAGATTTCAGCATTTTTCATACTTCCACATATTTTCTTAAAGCAAAGAATAAATATATATTTAAGAGCCAACTCTCTTCTGTATAAGAAGGATGGAAAGGAAAACATAATCAATCTTTCATGGCTGTAAAAGTTCAATTCCAGTTAAACTTAAGGAGTTGATTTCTTGCAAAGTTAATCTCAGAGAGTCACCAGGACCAGAGATTTAGTCTTCTGAGCTTATGGATTCATGCTGGTGCTCATTTTCAGGGAATTTCTCTACTGTTCTGTGACAAATGTTTATCAGGTGCCTTCCTACTGACTGATTGGTGTT